AGGAAATAGTCAACAAGAATGTACATTTGAATCTGGCCCCAGGGACAGAGGGAAACCTTTCAGTAAGTATTAAGTTCAGACTGAAATTTCACCTTCAGTGTAACAGATGGTTATATCCTCAAGTTCAGAGTGAATCCACCATATCCACCATACAAATAAAACTACTGACTTTGGCCCCTTAACTTCCTTTAGACCCTATTCAGAATTTCATTAACACTTCTAGATTTGGTAGTTTTGGAGGAGTTCATTTCTTCCAAAGGTGACAATACATCTCAGATGGCACCTGCAGGACATGTGTCCCCAGCAGTGTTAGCTCACTGCAGTGGTGGTGGGATAGCCAACAGGGACCAGGCAGGGGATGTTGTCTGAGGACATGGCTTCTTAGGCAGCAGCTTCCTACACTGAGTCAGTCAGCAGGATGGTGTCTTGGTTTGAAGACAGGTGTCTGCTAAGGAAGGTAGAAACTTCCCTTGAAATGGAAAGATGTAAACCACCCCCCCACCTCCAAATTATTATAATCTTGAAATCAAGGGGCTCTCAGCAAAAATACAGGAATAACAGTTCTTTACTAGGAAAATAAAAATAAAAATGCAGTAGTACAAAATAGCAACAAAAAAACCCAAACCCACTGACAGAATACGATTGTTGACCCTGTTGGTCAGGGTGTTGTTAGCAGTCTGATTAAATGGTGGCTGCAGTCCTCCTGGATGCACTTCTGTTGAAGCAATGATCCTGTAGAAGGGTGTAGTTTTCTTCTGGAGGTCCAGTGGTGGTATAGATGGGTCCTGTTTTCCTCTGGGAATCCAGTGGAGAAAGGCTGACTGCAGTGTACCAAGTCTCAGATTATATCCAGGTAGGAATGCTTGGCTCCTCCCCTGGGTGGAGCATCTCACAATGGGATGATGTAATTTTATCAGTCATGCAGTGAGGCTCAATGGCCCATTAACAGAAGAGATCCCCCTGGGGTTATGAGGGATAGGTTATGGAAGAGATAAAGAACACTGCCACACCTGGGGAGGTGGTAATAATTACATGGTGGTAATAATTAACAACTGATGATAGAATACATACTTTGGTTACAGCTTGCATTGCAGCCCAAGACAGATGGCAACAATTTCCACTTTCCCTCAGTTCAGGTCACCACAAACCCCAAGCAGGGTGTATTGTCAAACACTGCAGTTGCCATGTTTCCCCATGGCCTGAAAGGCACCCGTACCCACTCCGTGTTTTTACACAGCACTGGCACAATATTCTCATATTCCTTAAATAACGTGGTACCACATGTACCAGTAAAACAAGTCCTGTCTCTCACACAGTCTCAATCACAAACTATAATCACCAAAGCCAAAGTTAGTTCAGCTTTTGTAATATTGCCCTAGGGTAATATGAATCACTCATTCATCTCCCCACTCCAACAGGCAATTCTTTAATGCTTCCTTATGCTCCTAGCCCAGCCCCTACCTCAGCACTGGTCTTGCATTCTCTGCAGTCCAAGAAATGTCCACAAGACAGTGTAAACAAAGTGTTGTTTTGCACTTATTTGGTGTGTTACCAGTGCATCCCAAAATGTGCTCTTATCTGACACTTCACAAGCTTATTTTGTGCAAAAATGACATACCTGACTTCTTTTGACCTATCTTTTGCCTCTGATTACACCAGCGATAGTGTGTCCACAGCAGTTTTTTCTGCATTTACTGCTGGGAAAAGCAAAAATATTAGGTCAGTGACACTGACTGCTCATACATCCGTGGAGCAGTGTGCCCCTTGCAAAAAAATTCAGATGGATTTTGGATTACTAATTCGAGTGCTGGAAGAATTTTAGCCTTATTAGCAAAATGCCTGGGCTGAGTATACTAGCCCTAATTACAGGAGCAGTTATATGACACCAGTGAGAGCTGTACCCTTATGCAGTTATATTGCTTTGCTGCTTATCTCCAGTATCTCTTCCTAAACCTTGCTGTGTTTTTTACTGAGAAAATGCAACTTAGAAATGTGACCAGCAATTTTCCCAAGGTACAGATAAGATTGGAGATTGATAAATGAGTAATGAGACTGCCATAACCCTTTTTTCTTAGCCAAGTGACTTAGAAGGTGAGAACAATCTATAAAAGTTTGGAAATCTTCTAAATATGTCTTCTCTTAGTTTGCTCCAAAGCAGCATTGAGAGAAAAAAAAATATTTAATTTAAGAATAAGAAACAAAAGTAATTTATATTTTTACAAACTTGCTGAAGATGTTTCAATATGTTTAAAGCCCCCACTTGCTATCCAGGACAGAGCAGGGCTGGTGAAAACACAGACATTGCTTGAGTGCACTTCCAGCAGCAGCAGCAGCAGCAGCTCACTATTCCTTGTAATGCTACTGAGGAATATGAGCTATTTTTGTTCTCCTAAGAGCGAGTGGGAAATTACAATAGAGAAGTTTTGTGATTTATCCAAGCCCTGGAGAACGTGGTGGGGCATACAACGCAAAAATTTTAACTTGGTGGTTTCCCAGTCCTGCGTCCTGGCACCCTTTGCCCGAGGCATTAAAAGCCAGTATAGTTAGAGCTCCCCAGAGAGCCCTGAGAGGAGGCGGCTGTCCCAAACTAACACAACAGCTACACTGCCACTGGGAAGCAGGAGAGCTGCCTCTCTGGACATGAAGCGCCGCTGTTAGAGGGAAACGGGCAGGTCACTACTGCATTTGCAAATCTCCTCCCTGCTAAGTGCAGTCTCTGTCTCCTGAGTGCCACTTGCCAGGAGGGGAAAAGCTAGAGGGACCGGGCTGAGAGGAGCAGCAGTTTTCCTGGCCAGGAGAGCAGCCTGGCGTCCGTAATTCAGCGTCCCCTGGGATGTCACGGGACACCCAGCGACGCGTGCCGGGACACGGAGCCTGATCCAGGGCAGCTGTAGGAAAGGGAGGCAGGAGGCACTCACCAGCAGGAGAGCAAAGCAAGAGCACACACCACCCAAGAAAAGGCGAGCGGGGAGACCATCGGTAGCATCACTGAATCATGGATCGCCTGAAACATCTCCGGGGGGCTGAGGGCGCTGTGTGTCCCCGCACACCGCTGCGGGAGTGTCCCCAGAGGTGGGGAGTTGTGGCCATACAATGCACCAGCCTTGGTGGGGTATGGTGGGGTGATCACTACACCCCAGGTAGGAAAGCTGAGCAGTCTCTTGGGGTCCTGGCCAGTGGCATACACCAGGACTTATTTGCCCCACTCCAAGTCTGCACTCAGTTTCCTGGGCTCTTAAAGGGCTTGTCTTTAATACTGGGGGTTTCTTGTAAATGGGGCTCACGTGTAGCTGGACCTTATAACCTCTCTCCCCCACCAAGGCTTTGAGGAACAAGCCGAAGGTGATGCATAGGGCTGGAGTGCTCAGGGCTGGGGGAAGCAAGAGAGGATTCTTCATCCCCCCGCACACCCTAACCCTACAAAGCACTGACAGCAGTCTATTTCCAGGAGCCGGACTTCAGATACGTGGGACCACGAGTGAGAGGCGGTCACAAGGCAGCTGGCAGGAGACGATGTGGGTTATCCCGGCCTCAAGCACCTGTCCCGGAGCATCTGTGCTCTACAGCCGGCCCTGCCCAGGGCGGGGTCAGGTGCGCAGGGATTGCCACGATCAGGCTTCTCCCCGAGAAACTCGGCTTCACCCCGGGCTCAGCAAACAGAAGGGAGATTTCTTCCCAGCCGCCTGCAGCGTGGGCAGGGACGCTGCCATTTCTGACCATGTAGCTGGACACTATTCCATGTGCTAGCACGAAAACTCTACCCACCAAGAGCAGCAGCGCAAGGAGATCAGCTCTCCCACCCGCCCTGCTCGAGGTGCCGCCGTTCACGATTATCCCTCCCGAAATGGCTGGCAGGGCTGTGTGCGGAGGTCGGGGGTTCCCAGCCGGCGACTGGGGGCGGGGAGCAGCTTCAACACGCAACTCCGCTCCCCTCACACCAAACTGCTCTGACAAGTGCCGTCGTCTTTCTTATTGTCAGTCTCCGCAGGGACCCTGCCCAGGCGCCACAGCGAGGACCCGCCGGTGCCATGGGCGGGCGGGGTAGCGGCTCCCGCTGCCCCGGTCCCTTCCCGGCAGGGTGAGGGGGAGAGGGGCGGGCGACGCCCCTCGGCAGAGGGTCCGCGGGTGCTCGGAGCCACTGCGGCCGTGGGTGGGCGTCCCCCGTCCCCCCTCGGGAGGTTGTGCCGCTCGGAGCCGCCGTGAAGCAGAATCGCGGTGGGGAGGAAACCCGAGTTTGCGGCGCCGCTGCCGCCGGTGCGCGGGGGCAAGAGCGAGCGAGAGGAGGCATCTCCGGCACCCCGGCTCCGCCGGACCGCCTCTCCGCAGCCCCCGGCCGCCCACCCACCCGCCTCGATCGCTGTCGGCGGGGGCGG